CAATGTTCTGAGATAAGAGCAAGCTTCTGAGCCTGCCCAAGGTTCCCATTCTTGTTTGCAGGCACCATCACCCTCTCTCAGTGTCCCTCCTCATACTTTCCTTACTTCAAAAACTCCATTAAGTTTGTTCTGGTGGGAGGCAGCGCTTCCGGGAAGCCCCCTGCTGTGTTGCTGACAGGTGGGACCCTCAGGTGTGAAGCTGGGTTTGGAGGCCAAACTTCCCGTCCAGAGGTCATCTCATATTTGTTTCTGCTAAAACAGTGCAGCTCCTCTGGAATTAAATACTAACAGGGCAGTTCCACGACAGTTTGAAACAGGGGATTTTTTGTTTCCTGAAGCTTTTTCAAGCTTTCTTTGGAGTCGAGTTCTGATAATCCTGTGGTACTGCATCTTTCCTTTACCCATCTTGCCTTTTGTCTCCAGAAGATTGCAACCATCACATCAATAGATTCTGGCAAAGTTTCCTTTTTCACTTGCTTTGCTCTTTAATCCCCCCAGAGAACTCAGAATGGCTTACCCATCTCATGCTGAATTATTTCCACTCTCCATGGGAAGATCTGACAGTGGGACTAGTCAGGTAAGGTCCCAGCCCAGCATTCTAACAAACTACAACCCTGCGGGACCTCGCAAGCCCTTCTCATGAGGCACTATTTAATGGCAGAGCATATGCTATAGGCAGGCAGATGTTCTGAAAAGCCAATCCACTGCTTGCCATCTGAAACAGTGCAGGGCATCCTACCTTTATCCTTGCTTGCTCGTTTAATTGATCCATTTCTATACTACAGCAACAAAGGTGCATAATTTTTAAGTACTGAAAGAAAGACACATTTGTTTGTGTTACCCACACCCCCACACACTAGAATATAGTCCTCTTTCAGGCTGATGGAAGGCCTCTTCAGGAGCTTCAGGAGCTTCATGGCCTGGGCTTCTCTTCTTCCTTGCCTCAAAGTGTGACAGTCTTGCATAGGCCCCAGGAATGTGGGGGAGGGGCAGCCACAAGAGTCATCTCAGACCACTGATGGTCCCTTCAGGAGGTGATGGGATGAGCTCCCTGGCCTGGGTTCCTCCCCTTGATTCTCCCCCATCTCATTTGGACAACTTGTAGGTACTAGGCTCAAGCTATTGAGAAAATGCCTGCAATATAGTTGACTTTGTTCTTGCAGGGGTCAATGTCCTTTGAAGATGTGGCTGTGTATTTCACAGAAGACCAGGGGGCTCTGCTGGATCCCAGCCAGATAGCCTTGTACAGGGATGTCATGACCGAAAATTATGGAAACGTCTCTTCCTTGGGTAAGGAATTTGCTTGTCAGTTTGATAGGAATGGGAATGCCCTGATCAGAGTAAATTACACAGTAGGGGTCCTTTGAACCCCCTTCACTGCATTGAAGAAATGTGCAAAGGGGTCATAGAGTCCTTCAGAAAACAAATCCTAGAGCAACTCGAAAAAGTTTGCTTCATCGTTTCTGTGATAGCCCTTCCGATATTTGAAGATGGCTGTCACATTGCCTCTTAATCATCTCTTCTCCAGGCTAAACATACCCAACTCCTTCAACCTTTTCACATGAGACTTGGTCTCCAGGCCCCTCACCATCTTCTCTGGATACATTCCAGTTTGTCGCTATCCTCCTTGAACTGTGGTGCCCAGAACTGGACACAGTACCCCAGGTGAGGCCTGACCGAAGCAGAATGCTGTGGTGCCAATGCTTCTCGTGACCTGAACTCGAATGCTGATGCAGCCTAGAAACAAGAGTAGCAGAGCCAAAGGCAAAAGGGAGGAAGCCAGAGACATCATCTTATTGTAGCTTAAAGCTCTTACTACATTCAAACATTTCAACCTTTTAGAACGAGGAAATTATGGGACAAAAGCCCGGAAACCACAGAATGATTGGCACTGGGGGGTGGGGGGAGCAGGTAGGTGAACTGTCTGAATATTTCAGTCCTTTGGGCGTCTTCGGCTGCTTTAACTTCCTCTAGCAGATAGAAATACTTCTAAGCAATTCTTGGATTATTTGGTGCAATGCAGGTCTTGTAATAACAATAACTATAGTACAGGTATCTTTATCTCTTTCTCTTTCTTTTATTGGTGCAAATCTAAATATCCAATTAAAATATAAATAATAAAGTATTTAAAAACAACTAAAGATGCAATCCCATTTAGACAGAAAAAGTCATAGGATTGCATCCTGAAGACAGCCTGAAGGCTATTGGGTGGTTTGGATTTTTTTAAATAAATAAAATTCCAAAGCATTTTGTTTGCTACAAAAGAGAGCATTGCTGATGCTATTTTGCTTACTGGGAGTTCTCATAGAGTTGCCTGGCAGTATTCCAGGCAACAAATTCCAATTTACTGATCACCAAATTAGACCATAAATCTACAGTTCCTGAAATGGTACTTCACTATGAATATGTCAGTTATAACTGAACTTAGTAATAGCAATTGTAACTTCTAAGAGAATCTATCATGATTAATTTCTGAATGCTTCATGACTTTGAAAAGAATCCTTCTATAGGAATGCACATATTCAAAACGCACGCAGACCTTTCAAGTTAGTTACAATTAATTTTGTTATACGTATGCCTTTGACAAAGTGATTTCTTACAGAGCTTACTAATTACACCTTTGCAGAAATTATTCTAGACATCTATATATCATGTTTAAATGCTTTTGCTTTACACAAGTTTTTGCTCATTAAAGCTAGAACTTTTAAGAGTTTGATGGCTCTCCATTTCTCATATAGCCCTTTTGATCTTTTGTGGTGAGTTATAGTTGAGTATTTTCTCTTTGCATGTTACCAAACGGCTCAACTAATTACATTTTAATTATAGTAACTTAAAGTTCACTGTAAACTTTCCCAGTGGATTCTTACTTGACTTTTATGCAATGTGCTTAGTGGCTCCAAGTCACAAAAGTTTTGGCTTTTTTCTGAGGGAAAAATAGTAAATTTCTTTAGCAATAATTTTGAGCACCTTAAGAACCATATTGCCAAACTTTTCTAGCAAGACTTTGGAATTGGGCCAGGGGAGAGAGTTGTGATCCTCTGGGAAACCTTGGAGAGCAATATTTGGTGTCTGAATCTGAGTTTCATGCCATTGGTATTAATAATAATTGTGGGGAGGGAGGCCTTCATGGAATCAAGAAGTCAGATAGAGCAGATTTAAGGAACACGAACTTCCTCTCGATCACAAGATTATTTTGTCAGCACAGCCTGTACTTTTCTGAAGGTATTTTAAGAGGAAGTCCGGAAAAGTTTACACAGCTTGATCGAATAAATCCAGACAGATCTGGTTTTCTCTTCTCCCTGACAAGGATTTCTACTGCCCAAGCCTGACCTCATCACCCGGATGGAACAAGGGGAAGAGTTGTGGGTGCCAGACTGCCAGGGCTTGGATGAAGCTGTGCTTGCCAGCACCAGCTCAGGTGAGCGGATATCGGCACCTGTCATTCCAAGCGTGACTTGCTCACTTTCATGCTTGTTTGGTGCCCGTGCCCAGCATGCAGCAATCATGTTGCTCATTTCCGTAGCATGGACAGCTTCCGAATGGAAGTGATGAACATGATTGCCGCATCCGTCTGGCCTAAAGCCGTGCTCCTCTTGATGCAATTCCAGAAGAAACAGATGTCCAGAAGCAGAAATATATGAGGTAAACCCTTTGTTGAAAGGCTGGGACCATTGCTCAGTGGGCAGAGCACTAGATTTTCATGCAGAAAGTCCCAGGATCAATCCTTTGCATCACCAGTGTTTTATCATCATCATCATCATCATCATCATCATTCCATTCCATTCCATTAATAATCTGTCTTTCCTCCTCTTGCAAGCAACTCAAGGTGGCTTGCAAGGGTCTCCTTCTCTCCATTTTATCTTCCATTTTATTTTAGTTTAAGCTAAGCTGAGAGTCTGTGACTGGCCCAGAGTCACCCAGCAAGCTTCATGGCTGAGTGGGGACTAGAACCTGGATCTCCTGAGTCCCAGTCTGACACTCTCACCACTATACCACACTGCCTCTTAATTTCATTTCATTTATTAGCTTCAGCAGTTGAGTGGTGTAGAAATCTATCTGGGCAGTTTGCAAAGATTAGGATACTGAAAATAAAACATAAACACCATACTTGCAAACATATAACACCCATAGAGAGCACATGTAATGTTAAATTAGAAAAAATTCTGGACAAAGTACTTTACTTGGTGCCAATAAGATAACAGTGTTGGTGCCAGGCAGGCCTTGTTAGGATTGTTCCATATTTGGGGGGGGGGGCATGACTGAGAAGACCCTCCTTGCCACCTTCCAAGCCTCCCTGGGAGGAGGGCCTTAGATGAAGCATAGGGGAAGGTTTATGCTGTGAGAGATGCTTCATCAGGTATTGTGGTCCCAAACCATTTAAGGTTTTGTGGGTCAGAACCAGAACTCAGAACTGGGCCTGGAAATATAATGGTAATTAGCATAAGTGGACCACAACTGATGTTACATGTGCAAAATATAACTGGCAATTTTATTGTAATGCCCATCTAGAGAGCGTGATGCCAATGGGTGGCTTTAAACAAAACAAACAAATAAAATGGAACACCTCATCTAACAGGTGACTGAGAAAAATTCTGCCTGAGATCTCCAGGCAGAAGCTAGCAGTCAGGTTAGAGGACACTGTGCTAAAAATCTGACCTTGTACAAGGCAGCTTTCTTGGTTGTTATGGATGTCCCATCCTATTATAAATCAAGCTGCTCAGCCGCCCCAGATTTCTTCCTGCAGAGTTCCTGATGCCTTCCAGGAACATTGACCTAAAGCGCCTATCCTAAGAAGCTGACTGGGGAATGATGGGAGTCTAACAGGCATCAGTTTTGGGGGAGGGTGCCTTAATGAGGTTTTCATCAGTCATATTTTCTGAAATTCCTCTCACCCAGGCTCTGTAGTTTTGCTTTTTATCATGTGTTTGCCTTTTATGTCAACAGATGACTCCAGGAAAAAGTATTTGTGTCTTACCTGTGGGAAGCGTTTTGCTCAAAAGGCTAGCCTTGTCATCCACCAGAGAGTCCATACAGGCGAGAAACCTTACAAATGCTCTGTGTGTGGGAAATGCTTTGCTGACCGTTCAACTGTTGCAAAACACGAGAGAATCCACAGTGGAGAGAAACCGTATAAATGTCTGGACTGCGGGAAATGCTTTTTTACCAAAGCGGAGCTGGTGATTCACCAGAGAGTCCACACAGGAGAAAAGCCCTACAGATGCCCCGAGTGTGAGAAATGCTTTGCTCAGCATTCACAACTGGTAAGTCACCGGCGCATTCACACTGGGGAGAAACCGTATAAATGCCTGGACTGTGGGAAATGCTTTGCTCACCAGTCACCTTTCATGAGCCACCGGAGATTCCATACAGGTGAGAAGCCGTATAAATGCTCAGACTGTGGAAAGTGTTTCATTCAGCAATCGCAACTTGCAAGCCACCGGAGAGTCCACACTGGAGAAAAGCCCTACAAGTGTGTTGAGTGTGGGAAATGCTTTGCTCAGCCATCAGCTTTCATGAATCACCGCCGGACACACACAGGGGAGAAGCCTTACAAATGTCTGCAGTGCGGCAAATGCTTTGGTCAGCAACCACATCTTATCAGCCACCAGAAACTTCATACAGGGGTGAAGCCCTATAAATGCTCAGAGTGTGAGAAGAGTTTTGCTGTCCTCTCGAGTCTTACAAGCCACCAGAGAGTCCACACAGGAGAAAAGCCATACAAATGCTTGGAGTGTGGGAAGTGCTTTTCTGCCCAGTCTGTGCTTGTGACCCACCAGAGACTGCACACAGGGGAGAAACCGTTCCAGTGCTTGGATTGTGGGAAACGTTTTACTGACAGCTCGACTTTTGTGAAACACAAGAGGATTCACTCAGGCGAGAAGCCCTATAAGTGTTTGCAGTGCCAGAAATGTTTTGCTGGGCATTCATCTTTCGTGCAACACACAAGAGTGCACAGCGGGGAGAAACCCTACACATGCACTGAGTGTGGGAAATGCTTCCCTTACCGCGCAGATCTCGTGCGACACAGAAGAGTCCACACGGGAGAGAAGCCTTACAAATGCCTGGAGTGTGGGAAATGTTGTACCGACACCACAGCTTATGTGAATCACCTCAGAGTCCATACAGGAGAGAAACCCTATAAATGTTTGGTGTGTGGGAAATGTTTTGCATATTCTTCAGGATTTGTGACTCACCGGAGAATCCATACAGGGGAGAAACCCTATAAATGCTCCAAGTGTGAGAAGAGTTTTGCTGACCGTTCAGCCTTTTCTCGGCATCTTAAAGTCCATAGGGGACAGAAAACTTAGAGCATGCCAAAACTTTCTCCTTGTACTTTAAGTAATGAAACCTGCCTGGACATTAGAAAAGTCAGTAAGGTGAGCAGCATATTTGTACCGTTTTGTTAAAAAAAGAGTCTCTGTGAGAAAGAACACTTGCTCAACAAGATTGTATGTCTTCCTCAGCCCCTCCCTAACCTTGGGCCCTCCATATATCTTGTACTTCAGTTTCCATCAATTTGGCCAGCATGGCCAAAGGTCTGGAGTGTTGGGAGTTGTAGTCCAAAAGATCTGACAGGGAGCAGGTTGCGGAAAACTGCACCAGAGTTATTACTATTACTTTTTCTCTCATCTGACCATTAGACAGGTTGGCTGAGGCTGATGGGTGTTATACTCCATAAGATCTGGATGGTGCCAGGCTGGGAAAGGCAGGCATACCTAGAATTTGAAGCAAGCTACTGTCTGGGTGAATGGAAACTGTGCCTTTGTTGTTGGATCTTCCTGAGACTTTTATGTATAGAATGGGGTACAAAAGTTCTAAATAATAAATAAATAGAGAGATAAGAGGGCAGCAAAATGGAGGCCTGGAGCAGAAAGGAGGACTTCAGCTCCGTGGTTTCTGCCAGCTCACTTTTATGAAGTGCAGAATGTAGACTTCTGGCTTGTGGGATCTACTTTTTTATGATATCTCAAGATCTACCAACTAGAACTAGTGCAAAAGATATACACTTAGAATTAAAATATTCTAAGAATTTGAATACTTTTCAGGAATTTGTTTTATGTACGAGAATCGAACAGAGTTGATCGTTGTTCCATGCAAAAGTTCACTCCTGGTTGGTCCAAACTCTCTTCATTTCAGCAGTATAATTTCAGGCAAATGAGAATCATTTTGTTGCAGCTGTTATTAAATAACTGGAAGTCAGAAATCCTTGCTGAATCACTGCAGGTCATCCAGAGAGGACTTTCTGCCCTGAGGACAGACACCTCCCTCATGTTTTCACCTTGTCTATGCTGCATCATACCAGTGGATATTGGGAAGAGAAGACGGCTTCTTTGACCAAGCCTGTGGTAAAATTTTCCTTCATGGGTTTGCTCTGCCATCTGTATGGAAGAAAGCATGCTTGTTTTTCCCCTCCCTGCCATGGATTCCAGTGTATGTCAAAGGCTGATGGCCTTAAAGCCATGAGTTTCCCAGTGTTTAGCACGTGTTAAAATTAGTGTCATCATCCACTGATGCTTTCTCTAACCATGCAAGCTAACTCAACTAACTTCCCTTGTTAGACTGTGTGTGTGTGTGTGTGTGTGTGTGTGTGTGTGTGAGAGAGAGAGAGAGAGAGAGAGAGAGAGAATGAACGAACGAACGAACGAACGAACGAACCAGTGTGTTAACCTGGCAGAGAGAGAGAGCGAGAGAGAGCGAGAGAGAGAGAGAGAGAGAGAGAGAGAGAACGAACGAACCAGTGTGATAACCTGGCATTTCACAGTCTCGCTTGCTTGTATGTCACTTCCATATAGCAAGTGCCACTACAGTTCTGAGAGAAAGCAATTCTTTTCCTCCTCTGTTTACTCTGGAAAGTACATTTCTTTTTTCAAATCATGTAAATGCCACATTTCAGAAGCAAGACCAGCTCAAGGGGCTGGACCAGTTAGAAAAAGGAACATGTCGTTACAGCATGAAAGAACAAATAAATCCCACAACTTGGCATTCAAATTAAGATGCTGTTGACTTATTCTCATTTATTTTGAGGGGTTCTGGGCATTCTGATCTATTTAGCAATGCATGTCATTGGTGTTTAGTAATAATAGGAATAAAAACACCTGAATGAATTTCAGCTGGTGAGAACATTTAACAAACATCACCCCATTAATCCTTCTTCAAGCCCATTTCAAAGGTTAGGTGTGGACCCCTGATGAATAGGCCATTTTGGTTAAACTGTCCTTTGTTCAATCAGACTGCTGTCCCGTGTATGTAGTAACTCTTGCTCTGTGTTGTTTCTCAGTGGCATTCCGTCTGCTTGCTTCGTTTTCCACTCTGTTCCATGTATGTCCCATGCTTCATCTTTTTTCCTAGTTTGTGTGCCTTGCAGTTAATATTAAACCGCAAGAATTTCACTGGGAATCTACTCTTGTTAACTCTCAAAGCAATTTCAAGTTAAAATGCGTTACTGTAAGCATTTCAGAGTGTTCTTAAAAATAGCAGCCTTGAGTCTTGTGCAGCTTGATGGCATGCCCCATTCCTCTGCATCCTGCAGCGCTCAGATTTCTCTGCATCGAGAAAGAAGATCTCCATCGAGTCATTCTGTTTCAAAGCGCTGTGCGGCTGATGGATGATGACTATTGAGTGCTGCCATGTTGTACTAACTCTGAATTCTCAATCATACAAAACAGCCTTCCGCAATTTGGTGCCCTTCACATGTTATAAACTACAATACCCAGAATTCCTGTCTATTAGCTGTGCTGGCTTGGGTTGATGGGTGCTGAAGTCCAAAACATATGGAGGGCACCCAGTTGTGGAAAGCTGATACAAAAGGAAGACAGTGACTTCCAGAATCTGACTGAATGAGACCACACTTGCCAACTAGTCATTATTCCCATCAAAGAACTGACTCCTGTGAGATCGGAGTGACTTGGTTCACACAAGCTCTGCAACTTAAATAAACCATGGTAGCTTGTTCAAGGGCCATTGATCATGCCCTACAGCAGTATGCTGGGTCCCATAGTGCTTATCATGTAATCCAACCCAAGGCAGTCTGGCTTGATGGAGAGAGAAACAACCTTAAATAATCTGTGGGCTGTATTGGGTTATTTGAGGGTTCTTTCCCCCTCCAGCAAGCCAGGATGCCTGTGTGTAAACAACAAGACAAGCTGCACTCAGGCAGATAATTACTCAAGCAGTATGCACCAAGACTTAAATAAATCACCAGGCCTTAAATAGATCACCATAAATTGTTTAAGCCATGTTGCTCATGCAAAATCAGCCAATATGCCAGGACTAGATATTGTCCTAGATATTAATAGGAAAATAAGGGATTTGTTCAGTTTTATTTATTTGTTTGTTTTCCCTAGCTCTGTTCTAGTTATATTTTGCCCCATTTTGGAGATCAGTCAGATGTTGAAGATACATTTAAAAAATGTTCTTACTATGCAGTGCACATATGTACTGAAGTTTTTGTCTGTCTTCTGTGAGTCTTTAGAAGTAACTTCAGCAGCAGCAGATTAGATTTTTCTCATGCACATAAATGTGGAAGTTTGCACAGATTCTTTTTCATCCATCCCTCTCAAAACCATCTCTCCAAATATTAAATGTTACTGTTAAGTATTTGCCTTGCTTGCAGCTATTGTAAAATAAGTGCAAACATCTGTGCAGAAATTAGAACTTATGGCAGACATTTTAATTTTTAAACACTCACTTCTGCTTCAGAAGCTAATATAAGATAACTACGGCAAAGTAAACCAATACAGAGGGCAACAGGAGGGAGGAGGTCAAAGGGTGGCCACGGGAATGGAATGCTCCTAGGAAGAAAGATGGCGATGGGGATATGCTGAATTTCAGGATAAGAATACATGTTCTCAGAATAAAAATGGCAAGGGAGGGGGAAGAGTACAGGACAGATAAATGGGAGCATTTCCTCACACAACACACAAATTGTGGAATTTGTCATTACAAAATGCAGTGACAGTGTCCAATCTGGATGCCTTTGGAAGGGGATCAGCTACAAACACAGAAGATAAAGCTAACAACGGCTAATATTGTGATACCTGCCTATTGGCCTGGTTTGTGGGGGAGATTGGGGAGATCATGGGCTGTTTAATCCCCAGTGAGCTGTGGGATGTGCTGGGTACCCATTTGAATCCGCAGCCCCTGGCCAGGGCTGTGTGGGGTTGTCGCTGTGTTGTACAAACACAGCACTGTGGGGGTGTGGGGTGCTGCTGCGGGGAGAAGGCAGGCATGCAGCTACTTCTTTCCATATGATGGGCCAGGCTGGGGGAGCCATACCAGCTGATCCAGCCCTGATCCAGTTGGTGACTTTGCAGTCCTTCTGGGGGCTGCTTTGTTTGCATGGGCATTTTAGGGTGCAGCTGTAGCCATGCTTAGACAGAAAAAATAGAACTCTCAGAAGGCTTCAGCCAGTATAGCTGGCCAGGGAAAGCTGGAGCTTTCTGTCTAAACATGCACAGGGTTGCAGCCTGAACAGTGCAGTCCTTTAGCACGTGTATTTAGAAGCAAGGCCCATCGGCTTTTATGGAGCTTATTCTTAGATAAGTGAATACAAATTTGCAGCCCAAGTTGATAAGACTCATAGAATAGTAGAGCTGGAAGGGGCCATGAAGGCCATTGTGTCCCACCCCCTGCTGTTGCAGGACACCAGTTTACACCACCCCACTCAGATGGCTGTCCAGTTTCTTCTTGAACGCCTCTAGCGTGGGAGAGCCCACTAAGTTGGGCTAGTTTGTCCTGCTGCATTTGCTACCTCCTAGTGGTCCGTCTGTCTGTCCTTCCTACCTTAAAAGCTTGTCTAACCCGTCTACTACAAATGTCTCAGGATGGCATACCAAAAATATTTATTTATTTAGGTGTTCTTGCTGCAGCACCATCCAGTGTGGCTGCCCCCAAACCCCTGAACTGGGAAGGATTATAGGCATCCAGGTGAAGGTGGGAGGGGTACAGATGTGCACTATTCCCCCCCCCCACACACACACACATACTGCATTTAGATAGCCCATTTCAACCAGGGAAGAGTTTTCCTCCTGCACATGAGAAGCAAGAGCTCAGCGCTGCCCAGATGTCCTGCAAGATGGCAGAGTTGCGCTTCTCTCTCCATCACCTGGAATACCCCAACCCAACCAGCTTACTACAGCTCCCAGCATGCAGGAGCTAGCTATCCGATGCTTGCTTGCATACGCTGTGAGTCACAGGCCTGTATTTTCTGTCTGAGTGTGCATAGAATTGTGCCCTTGGATGAGTATGTGTAACTCGCCGAATCCTCTGCATTTGTCAAGAAGGAAATTGGGCCCAGAAGCCCTTCTCTTCAGCATCGGTGAAGGGCTTGGCTGGCGGTCGAGATGTGGCTCAGGGCTTCCATGCAGGACTTGGTTCCGACATCAGAGGCTGCCTTATATCAAGTAAGATCAGGCAGGCCTGTCTGGCTTAGTCTTGTCTCAGTGCTGAGAACTTTTCTTCACAAGGTATTTCTGATGCGCTCTTATTCACAGTTGTTTATGGATATTCTGGTGCTCTTCCAGCTCACTTCTGTTTTTTCCCACTTTCCCCTTTTCCTTCTTTTGTTTGGTTTTCCCAGAAAGGAGAACGTAGGGCGTGAATTCTGTTTCTCCTTGTGTATTTACATGCTTCCACTACAGCACAGTCCCACTTAGTGCTGCCATAGCCAGAAAAGCAGGAAAGGAAGAAGCTCAGATCTCAATTTTGCAAGCAAATTATGACATTGCAAGGGATGGCAGCTGGCCAGGCCTTTGCCCGGGTGGGGTGGGGTGCAGGCGTCTCTCCCAGCCTACCTGAAGATGCTCTGCTGGAACACAGCACCTCCTGCATTCATCGAAAGAATATGCTTTACCACCCATTACAGCCCTTCCTCTGTGGCAGCCTTCCTAACCCATTTAGTCAGTGCAGCGAAGGGCCACAGGGATGGGTGGATTGCAGGGAAAGCCGTATGAGGCGAGAGTGAGGGGACTCCAAGGGGATCAGTTGGCGACATACAGGTATGTCAGGGGATGTCACATGGAGATGGGTAGAGACCTGTTCTCCCCTGCAGAGGAGGGCATGACGTGCTCCAATGGAGCCAAGCTCAGGGAACCCAGGCTCCATTTGTATGCCAGGAAATACTTCCTGACAGTTAGGACCCGAGGGTGTGGAATGGGCTTCCACAGGAGGTGGTTGAGGCCCCATCGGTGTGGGTGTTCAAAGATAGGCTGGACATGTACCCCCAACTCCAGCTGGCTCTGCTCATGACATGCCCACCATGATAGAAAGACGACAAGACATTATAAAGAAAAGGGGTTTTATTCCATGAGCCATTTATCCTCTTTTAACATTGATTACTTTTTATAAGAGATGTTATTCTGTTTCAATAATAAAAGCACTAATGCAGAAAAAATAGAATTCACTCTCTCATTTGAGTGTTTCACTTTTTAAAATATTTTGTCATCTGACTGTTAAATGATCTTTCATTCTCAGGGAATGTCTCTAACAAACCCTTCCAAGTTTTGGGAGCTAGATCAGTCCGTTTGCTGATACATATCTGCTTATAATGCATGTGTACTGTAAGCAGATGAAACACTAGTTATGGGATGGTCTATAAAAGCTTTAAATAAATGAGCAGGTCCATTCTGCAATGCTGCAGCACCACCTTGTGCTTGTGGAGTGGAATGTGTAGGCAGGCAAAGGAAAAATGTGTAGGCAGGCAAAAATGGATAGAAAGCTTAAAGGAGCCAATCCCAATCCTGCAAAGCATCTGGAAGCACAAGCCTCAGTAAAGTGGCGGCTTAAACACCTCATGCCCTGAAACAACATGGGGTAATGCCTGCCAGTGTATTAATAAACACAGGCAGTTGCTCGTGCACTGGAGCTTGTTACAAACTGCTAAATCTTGCCCAGAAAATGAAAATGTTAGTAGTTCATAGCAAACTCGCTCACCAAAGGCTGATCTGCCTGTAGTCCAAGCATCAGGGCTTGGACACAAGCGGAGGGGGTGGGGAAGCTTCAGAGTTTGCAGAAAGTCAAAGAGCTTTGGTGGGGCAAGAGGCCCCTCCGAACAGTCTGGGGAGGACTTGTCATGTCCCGTGGCCATGCGGTGATGGCCAGCTGGCGCTCTTTGCAAAGGTTGCATCAGGATACCTGTGCACCTTGGCTCCATCAGGCTTCAGAAGCACCTCGTGCATCTTTCAGCCTTCCCAATTTTTTTCTTTTTCTCTCCTGACGAAGTATGTTTGTTTATATATTTATTTAAACCTTTATATGTTGTGCATGGCATCTCAGGACGGCTTACAATCGTTAAACACAATAAAACAACATCTCAATATAATAAATAACAAATAACCAAAAAATTAGTTAAGCAAGTTAAATAAAAAGCGACTGTTGAATGTTAAAATTAGTTTTTAAAATAACAAATAAAAAGGTTTTAACCTGGCACTGAAAAGCATATAAACTCGGTGCCAGGCGAACCTCTCCGGGGAGCACATTCCACAAGCTGGGCGCCACCGCAGAGAAGGCCCTGCTCCGAGTAGATGTCCCATTTACCTCCTTCAAGGAGGGTTCTCGGAGCAGGGCCTCTCCTGCAGATCCTAAGGAGCACGAGGGTGTATAATGTTCCTTCAGGTATGTTGGGGAGTTGTAGAAAATGCAGTGCCCAAAATATTTCTGGGACAAATACGGGCTGCAGAAGTAGAGATGTGAGAGCCCTCATAAAAGCCTGGTACGGGGGGAGGCACTCCCCCCATTGGCTTAGAGAATTGTTAGTAGGCAGATTAGAAAGAAAATGTATAAAAACGCTGTTCTATTTTTTTTCCTTTGCCAAAGGAAGTGGTGAATGTTATGATGAAGCAGTGATGAAGTGGTATGGTCTAAGTGCAGGTGTTCACCCCAGCAGTCCCCCAGGGCCACGGGCCCAAGGTCTAAAGTCGCAAGCCACTACACTGACTCATGCCAGTAAGCCAGTTCTAGGAGTTTGGGGGTGTGAACGGGGTCCCAGTTGCCACCAAAGATCCAGCCAGCACAAAATGCTTCCTGTGACAACAGGGGAACACACATTGTTGCTGGGCAAGCAAGTCATTTTTGGCCCTTTGAGGCTTGCAGCTCAGCGCAGAGGGCGGGGGAATCAGGGTGGCGGGGCTCACGTGCCAGTGTGGCTGGCGGCATCCCTGAGAGCCCCGCTTGCACGCCACTGCTGATCCCTGGGAAAACATTTTACTTTTAAAAAGCTTGTTTTCCCTCCCCTAGGCCTTCACATATACAAGCAGGCAAGCTTCTGGTTGTCTTTTAGGAAACCTTAGGCAAAGCAGAGCAGAAGAGGTTTGCAACACTGACAAGGACTGGAAAAGCCCTCGCTTGCAGGGAAATCGGGTGACCTGCAGCTATGTGGGCTATAGGCAGAGGGTGCCTGATGGAGCTCCATTGCTGAAGCTGAGCAGGCCTAGGCTGCTCAGCGTTTAGATGGGAGACTGTCTGGGCATCTGCTGTAGTGTTCCCTGAGCTGCTAATACCAGGGGGGTTCAGTAAAAATAATTTGGGGGAAAGGTGGGATATAAATATAGTAAGTCACCTACCTCACAGGGTTGTTGTGTGACTAAAGTGTTGCTGGGTGGGCCACGTACACATTTTTGGAAGGGGTGGGGGAAGGTTCCTGTCCATCAACTTGAGGAGAGGGCAGGGAGCATGTGCCAGGTGCAACCTGCTGGGGAAGATGGCCCTCTGGGTTCTGTCCAGTTCTCTGATGAGTGAGCCACTGCTGGCAGGAGCCTGTTCCCAAAATGGAACAGACCTGCCCTGGTCATGTGCCAGAGAATCTAAAGGCAGACAGAGTGTCAAGCAATCTTGTGGGAGTTCTGTAGATAAAGGACAGGTGAATTGTGGCCTCCAGGTGCTGCTGGAAGGCAACCCCCATGATCCCCAGTCATTGGCCATACTAGCTAGGGCTGATGGGAGTCACAGCTCAACATTTGGAGGCCACTGTTTGCCCACCCCTTACGTCCAGGGCCACGGAGAGGGAGGCAAAGTCACTGACACACATCAATGAGCATCTATTATCAGTATCAACAAATAAAACAGCCACTTTAAACAATTTGAAAATAAGCCAGTGAAATGCATTCCTCTGTAATGAATGGAAACTGAGGTTTGGGCTGAAAAAATGGCCAGTGGGCCATGCCTAACAAGTGGAGGCAGTTAGATTTTTGGCCCTTGTAGCTATCCGATATTATCTATCCTATCAGGATGTTTAGATCTGGTTTGCACATAACAAATTCTGGGTTGCTTAGCTATGGGCTATTGGATAAGCTCTGCACTAAACCCAAAGCAGCCCAGAGGTCTGGGAGTGGCCATCATGGTACTGGCCCAGAACAGGGCCATTCCTGGGTTGCTGAGTGGAAGTGGCCTTCGGGCAGGATGTGTGAACTGGCTCACAGAACCCCCTTGTGAGATTCTGGAGTCTCTTCTGGTCAGTCATGCTTCCGTCTCCACAACAGATACAAACAGAGAGGTGGCCAAAACCAAAGACCAGCAGAACGAAAAAGGTGTTCACTAAGCAGACTTTATTTATGGCTTGCAAAAGAACTTCGGCAATGCTAACAACACGCTGATAATATTCAGGATATGTCGCTCTGGACAGAAGAGACTCGGGCGCTTGCAAAGCAGAAGCCCTTTCCTAATGAAGGGGTTGTCTCAAACAGGAACTGCAAACGGGGCATTTCTTCCCATTCCCTTTGAATGACTGTATAATAGGAACTTCTCTTCCACTCTCTTGGGGTGACTTCATTAACTGCTACTGTGAGAGAGGTGGCCATGCCTGCCAGAAAGAAGGGTGTTCAGATGCTGTGAAACTTTCTGCACATTTGTTGTTTTGGGGTTCATGTTGTAAATCCCACTGTTGCCCCTGCAGTCCACTGGAACACCAAGTATGTTCCATGTTGCTCTCACACTCTGAGATTTTTTTTGTTTTTTTTTTTTGGGGGGGGGTCATGTTACCTGCTTTAAAAGGTGCCAATCAAATTGAGCTATTTAAGTTTTATTCAGCATTCCACCTGACCCCAAGCTAGTGGAGTATACATTGCTCTTTAGTGTTTTTAAGGACTGTCTTTTATGAATGCTGTAAGGGCCAACTTCTTGGTCCTCTTTTTCCTTTCCAAACATGCACAGGATTGTGCTCTAAACCTGCTTGTTTTCTTTGAGACATTTTGTGGATTCTGTTTACTCCCACCCCAGGTGACAGATTTTTAAGAAGCTGACTGGGAACCAAGATCTTACTAAAACAGTTAAGGCTGCAGCTGTTTTGCTGGGTTCACTCATGCAGGGACAAAGTGCTAGAACATCACTCTAGCACTCAAAGTGCTAGAACACACTCTCAAGATGGCAGAAATGTTTGTGAGAGTGAGGAATTCTTTCAGCACTTCAGCCTGACCCCCCTCCACACCCGGAAAAAGGGAAGGATCTTCTCCCCGGAGAATGAGGCTGAATGGAAAGTAAAGATCAGGTCATCAGAATCAACATCAAAGAATTCCACACGGTCCTCCTCATAGTCCAGGAAAACCCGGATTTTTCTGAGCTTGCGCCTCAAGGTTAAAGGAAGAGGCTTAGGGGAAGTAAAAGCCAAGATTTGACAAGGTGACGAGGAGTCACGGAATGACTTTCCTACCGCCCAGAACCCCTCATCCGGACTAATACGGACCACCCCCTTCCTCCTGACCGACTCTCGTGCAACCCCCACAGCCCACCTTCCCAAATTTTCCTCCACCTCCACCTCCCACCAGTGCCTTCCTGAAGTGAATATCTCACGGCCCAGCACACTCATCATAATATCAAATCTCTCCGGGTTGTCAGGCAGGACTTGATATTTGCTTCCTCTCCTCACACTCTTCAGGTCATCAGACAAAATGAGGAAGGGGTTTGCAGTGTTGGGGTCCAGAGTGAAATTCACTGCAGAAACAAGGAAGAGGAGTTTGGATGGTATGAGTAGAAAGATCAGCCTTGTCGGCCATGAGCCAAATTCATCCCTTCTCTAAAGATACTCTTCCCCAGTCTGGTGGAATCTGGGACATCCAGAAGGCATAACACCACCATTGCAAAGCACCAAGGCATGCTTCCTGGGGATGATGGGAATCTGACGTGTATGGACAGCAAGAGGTTGGGGGAGGCTCCTCTAAGGGTTTCCCAGAATCTGGTCAGGACACCTAGCAGAGAGCAGAACTCATTTCACCAAGGAGAAGCAGAATGGAGACTGCTAGGATTTTTTTTAAACTAGGGATGTCAGGAAAATTCACAACAGATGAGTTTGGACATCTATGAATCAAACTGTGGATTCCACAATGGATCGGCTTTTTGCAAGTTGCATAGATTAATGCATTCTGAGTTATTTAAAAACCAACTTTGTGGTTAGAATATCCACAAGTGTGCATTTGCAAACAAGAATGGAATACGCATACCTGATTCTGTCCATGAGCAAATGACAGAATGAAAGATGCCCGACAGTCTCCGAAGCACAGCTGGAATGGGCTTAATAAAATAATCAAGTCCTACTTAACTCCAGGCTGTTCTGAACAGAGCAGGAGTTGCTTGGTAAAGGAGGACATCAGGATTGTTCTGCCTGTCGTGAAGTGTAAGCCCCTCCTTCTAAGCCATTCTGTCGGCTCTTTTTCTCCCAGTCACTGCTGGAATCTCGCATGGGCGGATGACAAGGGAAGGAATTCACTGCAATTGTCAGAAGTGAGGTGGTTGAACTAGCTGCCTGATCCAACTCAATTCATTGAGGGATTGCGGTGGAACCTCCATTCCCAGCAAAAAAATCCCATTAGCTCCATGCTAATATGGTTATAGTTAATAGTTACCTTTGTACAGTTCTTGATTCAGGGCCTCTGTTATGCAGGGAGAAGAGGGACAAATTTAAAGTCAGACCATCGTACATAGAGCATGTCAAGTCATGTTTTGAGGGGGGGAAAACTTCTCTCACACTAAAGACTATCTTTAGTCACACTAAAGATTTAAACTAAGACTATATTGAGCAATCATTGATTTTTGGATTATTTTTGAGTACAAAATGTGGTTTGCAAAGGCTGGCAAAGATATCCCCTCCTTCACCCTGGTTGATTCCACATCAGCTCTTTCCACTCTAAAATAGCCATTCTTAGGTCAAATAATCTTCTACAATGAATCAAAATATTGTTAATATTATTAAGTGTATACCCTTCCTTTTTTACAGTTGCAAGAAAAATGCAAGGCAGATCACACGGTCCTCCTCCTCTCCATTTTATCCTCACAAAAATCTTGTAAATTAGTTTAGCCTGAGAGCTGGGGGCTGGCCCAAAGTCACCCAGCGAGCTTCAAAGCCAGTTGGTGACGAGAACCTGGATGTCCCAAGTCCCCCTCCCACATTCTGAACACTGGACCACACTGGTACCAAATAATTACATTCCAGTACACCTATTTTCCCCATTTTGTTCAGTTGCAATAAAAGACAAGCCGCAGTGGCAGCTCATCACGTTTGGACAGGCAATGCCTTATGGCAGCTTTTAAGATCTTGTTTGCCTTTAAAATATTACTGCTCACAGTTTGTTTCCTTTTGTTGATTTCTTTCTTCAGGGCAGTTGGAGGATTAAATAAAGTTATCTTATTCAGATAAAGTGATTGATAGTGATACCGTGATCTTATTTAGTTGATATCTGCTCCCAGTGAAAATGTGTGAATGTATATGGTGGTTAGTTATTTTTGGCTGGGCTTTCCCCGTACTATTCCATTACCAACGCAAGAGCAGAAAAAGTAGTGTAAGGACACTTGTCTCCCATGAGCTGACTAAGATGCAATTCAACTGTTATTTCCCAGCAACACGTAACAGGAGGCAATAAAACGGGAAGATGGGTAAGCAAGGAATATTTAAATTGATGTTGCAAAGGACCTTTGCTGAGCAGAACTTAATTAGGAACACAAAATCACAGAGAGATCTTGGCCTTGGAGCTGGTGTTGCCGGATAATACAGCATCAACCAATTGCTGTCCGGAACAAGTGCCTTAATTGTGGAAAGCGGGACCTCAGCCATGCCTTCCAGTGAGGAAGCAATGCCTATCTCATCACCATCTTTCAAGATTTCCCTTCCCCTTTAGTCCCAGAAAGCTACCTTTGTTCAGTGTTTCCTCCAGAGACTCTGTTACGTGAAGAAAAGGGTGACAAATTTACTCAGTCTTGTAGATATATGATACATTGCATTGCATATACAAAAGAACCATAGATCTCCTGAAGATCTTACTTAAACAAAATTCCTAACTACAATCAGCATTTAAACGTAAGGTTATTTTGCATGAATTAGAGCTTAGCTTTTGGAGTCTTATGCTCAGATTAAAGTGCAAAGAAATGATAGGGAAGGAAAGCCAAAAAGAATAGGTGATACACATGAGTAAGCACCTGATGACACATTTGCAACTAGATGGACTGGCAAGCAAAGGGGAGGAAAGAGGAATCACTCTTCTTACTGGGGATCCTTCCTGGTTGATGGGTATTTTGTGGAGGACATGTCTGGCCTGGATGCTAGCTTGATGACAGGCTAAATCTGAGGGTCAAACAGGCCACAAGTAGAAGCCCTGATCTTAGAAAAACTGAAGGTAAGTCACCAGATCAGGGCAGAAACTGGACTGGTAATCCTCTTTGCTCAAGAGCTCTCCCGGAGGCACAGGGAGTGAGGTGCCTGTGATTAGTTGCTGGACTCCCTGGTTTGAGTCCCCCTCGTGCCTTACAGGAGAGCAATTCCAGGAGAGGCAGGCTATGCACCTTCTCTAAAAATTAATCTGATCTGGCATGTGGGAGCCTTCCTGCATTCTGCAGATCCATTTGTGAGGAACGACTGCAGCCTGAATTTGATGCAGTCTCCTTCTGCCTCAAAAGATCAACCGAAGGGCCAAAGACATTTGAGATGCCACTTCAAACATTTTGAGTTGTCTTTCAGTCCCCTTGACAAGGTTCAGCTGATCATGGGGAAAAGAAGCCACAGTGCTGCACAATTCATGTAATTACCTTCACAGTGCGTGGCTTGCCTTATCATCCAGACCGAGTGAAGTACATGCAATGGGGGGGGGGCTCAGATCCCGCCCCCAGAACCCTAGAACAAGCCACCCCTGCTGCATACCTCATCAAGTCAGCCAATAAAGTCAGCCAACAAATTAACCTTCCTGTGAGGCTAATTCAGCAAATCACATGGGCAGGGAGAAACCCATCCTCGAGTGGTTCCTCTTTAACATGGGACTGTCTTTCCCTGCAGTCAACCCAGAGCTGGAGCACTTGCTAAGGCCTTTATCCTTTCTCCACCTTGCCTTTTCTGTCCCACAGTACCTTTATATTTTTCCATAGCCTCTTCTAGAGCAGAATTTGTCTGAGAGTAAATTCTGAGTTTCTCTTCCAGTCCTGGAGAAACGTCCACTTGCTGTCTTGCATGTCCTTTCTCATACCTGGCAGGCAAGAGGGAGATAAGGAAAGCAAGGTTAGGAAAACTGCTTCTCTGCCTCCCTGCAGCCATCTAATCTGAGAGGGCAGGTTGGGTGCTCAGTTGAAAGGAGCACTGCTCTGGGTTCAGTGCCCTGGACCATATTTTAAACTCTGCATCCCTTTCTGAAGGAGGACCTATCTTGAACTCTTAAGGGAAAAAGAAGTAGAAGACCCTCCTTTGGCCTTAAGAATGAAATTGGCCCAAAGCAAAAGCTTCTTGTGCAGGCTTTTCCCACCTGGACCATTCTGGATGTGTTTCACTGAGGATGATGGGAGCTGCAGCCCAGCAGAACCTTGGGAAAGGCTGTTCTCTAATGGATGGAAGCTTTTCTGCCTTTTTAAATCAAGTGTCAGCCCTGAGTGCCCCAGTTTTGCAATAAATTCTTGGTAGATATTTGTGGGCAAGGGAGAGAAGCAAACAAGAAGGATGCAAAGAGCCAGGCACAAGACAGCGGCCCGATTGTTTGCTGGGAGAGTACATGCAAATTCCCCATATAGATGATGGGGCAGAATTAACCTTTTGGTTTAAACACTTTTAGAGAAATGCATAGGTATCAGGATACTGCTTCAATCTAGGGCATCTGTATTTACAAAGTTCACTGCTGTTGCTTCCCCCTCTTCAACCTGTTGAAAAAAATACTGTCTGGTGCTCCAAGCCAGCTTGAGTATCCATGCCGAGTACTGCTACCCATGTCTAGTAGCTATCAAGAGAGGTGCTGGTACCACTCTATAAGACCCTGGTGCATCCACAACTGCAGTACTGTGTCCCATTCTGGGCTCCACATTACAAGAGGGACACAGAAAGGTGGGAATCAGTTCAGTGCAGGATCACAAGGACGGCTGCTGGATTGGGGAGGATGCCATAGGAGGTGAGGTTGAGGGAACTATGTCTTTTCTGCTTGAGGAAGAGGAGACTCCAAGGGGATCTTATAGTGACATATGGGTCTGTGAGGGGATGTCATGTGGAGGAGGGCTGTGACCTGTTCTTCCTTGCAGTGGAGGGCAGGATGTGTTCCAGTGGGGCAAAGCTCAAGGAACCAGGTTTCAAGCTGAATGCCAGGAAGTACTTGCTGACGGTTAGGACCCCTAGGATATGGAATGGGTTTCCAAGGGAGGTCATTGAGGCCACATCAGTGAAGCTGTTCAAGGAAAGATTGGACAGCCACATGTTGCGGATTACATCAGCAGAGCCGGAGTGTGCTGGGGGTCAGACTAGATGGCCCAGGAGACCCTTCTGACTTGCTATGTTTCTATCCATTTTTTTCACAATATCACTAACACAGCATTTCTTTGGGGCACTGTGGGAAATTAAAATTATGTCTAGATCTGACTGCATAGTGTTCTTTGGAGTTCTGTGGACAGGCTGGCTTGCCAAGAATCTCTGATGGTGGGGAAAGACCATTAAAAGTTACTCTCTAAGACCTCCTCAGACCTGGAGCCAGCCTGTCGAATCCACAAGGACCTTAGACATCAAAGCTAGAAAAGCCTGCAGCCAATGCATTGCAGAGTCACTGCCAGCTGGCAAGACATAGCTTTTCCCATCTGTGGGGGTCACAAATGATGTCAAACTACAACTCCCATCACCCCCAGTGAGTGGAATGCCTGGGATGAAAGGAATTATCTAAAACATCTGGGCATCCACAGTTGGGGAAAATGTGGCCGAAGGAACACAGTACAGGATAGTATCCTGCATTTGCATTCTTCACAATGGTGTAGTGGTTAGAATCGTGGACTAGGGAGATTTGGGTTTGAGCTCCTATTTGGTCATTAGGTTCACCTGGTGACTTTGGGTTACTCACAGCCTAAACAACCTCACAGGGTTATGACGAAGGCAAAATGGGGAGATGGAGGAGGATTATGTTAACTGCCTTGGATTCCTTATAAGACAAAAGGTGGGATATAAATTTAATACATTATATAGAATAAACTGCTTGATTTGTCATAACATAGATGGGTAAAAAGCCCCCTGTCCTCCCCCAGGATCTAAGCTGTGCAAATCATGACCTATGGATGCTGCAGTTCCCACCCAGCCTGAAGAATATTTTCTAGATTCTTGATGTGGAAGCATCTTTTTTTAATTATATGTTGTGCCCAACGTAAGAGGGTGACCCTACTTTACAGACTCTACTTTGTTTCATGAAACCAAAACTTGTCCATCAGATATGAATGAACAGTAGAATGAGAAAGAACCACATACCTGCTCAAGACATTTTTGATGTCCTGAAAGCATGGAGAGGGAGGGAGAGAGAGAAATGTGCTCAGTGATGGAAACATTACATGCTCTAGGGTGTCTCTACCAGGGATTCACTTCCTCGCTGAGGATTTTTAACAGCCATTCTCAGGACCATGTCTTCCTTCTTTCCAGCCTCAAGAGTCAGGAAGGCCTTGGCTTCTTCTGCAGGGTCCTGGTCAGGACCTTCTTAAGTGTCGGCCCCACACTGGACTTAGTGAGACAAATTGTTTGGGGCATCATGAAAGGGCTGACCTAGTTTGCACAAGGATTAATTTGGCCACTAAGGATTAATTTGCTCTCAAGAAGCTGTGGTGTGTGCTGGCTGCCAATACAAATATGTAAACCCCAAATGGGGGTGTCAGGGATTGATGTATCAAGCAAACCTTGCCTGCAGGGTTATTCGAGGGTTAAACAACCCTCAAACAAACCATTGTCTGTTGTAAGGTTATGTGCTTCAGCAACTTAAGACTAATTTAACTCTAAATGCGCGCCATGTCATGCAAACCTGCCCATGGTGTGTGGGGTGGAGACCTGCCCTGGTTGGTCCCTAATTTTGCACTACCTGAAGATGAGCACTGCACCCTGGAAATGGATCTGGCATGTCTTAACCTGCAGGGGCTGCTACACAGGCAGTGCAGGAGAGCTAGCGCTTGAAGGTAAGAGAGAAGCAACTGATAAGGACCAAGGTAAGGTGCTTTTCCTTTCTTTCTTGCAAATTGGTGGTGGCTATAAGTTATTCAGCTGGGAAGGAGCTATAGTGTAAGTAAGGACTTATGTGACGAGTTAGACCTCCTTCGCCAAGGTCAATGCAGCATGATATTTAACTCTTGCAAGACTTACAAAGATATCAGATTGGCTCTGAGGCATATTAGCAGTAAGGGGATTCATTGCAGGCAACAAACTGTTAGATATTTATTGTTGCTGCATTTTTACTGCCTGGGAGTAAAATTTTGTGCCTCGGGTGCCAAAAATGCCTTGGGTATGGACTGAGTTTGCTTGTTGTTGAAACAAGGGTTAGTGTGTTGTCTGAACTAAGCTGAGATAAAAGCAAGGTGAGCAATCCAGTTTGTAACTCAACAACAAACCATGTACTCTCTTCATGGGTTGTTCAGTGTTAACAAATGGTAACCAATGATTATGATTTGCTCATACAGTTGGGCTCAAACAACAAGAAAACTCAGGCTTCAGGAGCAAGGCACACTCAACCTTGCGTGGGTTATTTTGTTGTCTGAACCCAGTCCTTATGTAACTTGACTGCAGTGATGAAGGCACCATTTGCCTCTCTTCTTCATGCAGCAGAACCTCTCAGGCTGGTCCTGTCCTAGTGGATTAACCCCCCCCCCCTGCATTTTCCTTGTAATTGTCCACACTCTTCTTACAGTGCTGCAACCCAGAAAGCCTTTGCAATCTGCCACAAGCCACCCAAAAATCCATTAATAGTTCCTGGTCTACTCAGCATCCATTCCTGCTTTAGCATCTTGTAAGTTGTCTTGTGAGGGCAACATGCCCCAAAAGTGGCTTTTAAAATCCTTTACATAAATAGTGTGTGTGCGTTATCCGAACAACAAAACCACAGAGAAGTTGGGCTCATTCCGCACAGACAAAAGGATATAGAGGTTCTTCCTTGTGTTAAGTATGTTCGCAGGCAATCTCACTCTTACCTGAGGCAATTCTCTTTCTGGCTGCTGAAAGGTCCCTTCCACTTCTGTGATCAGGTTATTGAGATGGGAAATCTCTTCAGAGAATTTGGCAATACTTTCTTGCTGCTTCTCTTCAATCTCTTTCTTCAGACTTCCGAGCTGGGCCAGCCGAAGGAGCTCTAGTTCTTCAAGAAAGTTGTACATTCGCTCAAAGACAGAGTTGACCTTCTGTTTCTCCATTTCTAGTTGCGTCTGGTGGTGGGGGCAGTGGAAGGAGAACACATCAAAATGGGCAGGGGCGGGCAACAGTGAATGGTGAACGCCTGGTTCACACATGCCTCTTTACCACTTGCGATCACATTATGCATGGTCAAGACTTGATGATTTGCTGCTCAGAGGACAGGGAGCCCCCCTCTCTGCCCCATTCAACATACTGGGTTGGATCCAAATTGATGCTGGAATGACTGCTCTGGCATAAATGGACTTTCTAGCCCCCTCCTTCCCATACCGGACCCCCCACCCCAGTCCTCTGTAAATGCTAGACAGTGAGCCAGGAGATGGGGTGCTGGTGAGTGAGCTATGATGTGTCCAGGAGAGGAGGTACCCAAAGATCATCTGGAGGAAGTGTCTGTGAACAGATCCCTTCCTATCAAGGAGTGCAGATCTTAAAGCAAACTCACAGAAGGTGCCTGGAGTGGAGTGGAATGTGAATCCAGCACCAGCGATGGGACAGACCCCTCCATTACCTCCAAGGGGAGCTGCTACTCCAGGTTCTCTTCTCCTGAGACCTGTCATAATGGTAGGATTGGCAATACGAATGTCCTAAATGGCCGGCTTTTGAGTCTGGCACTGTCCGTGGTGCTGAAATGGATTCACCTCGGTGGTGCAACAGGGATAAATCCTGCACAGCTCAAAAGCAAACTTGCAATGGACACGGAGCTCCATTGACGTGGAGCAACCAGGCTGCCACAGACACACCGTTCCACAAGCAGGCAGTCGTGGCGTTAGAGGGGGCTGGTAGGGAGCAGGAGGGAAACAGAACAAACAGGCAAAAGCGGAAGGAAGAAAAGGGCAGTGGCAATGCAGGGCAGCAGTGGTGCGTGTGCCTTCCTGCGAGGCAGCAGGAGAATTAGCCCAGGCTCTGCTCTGGAGTGTGTTTTATCATAAAAGAGAACAAGGCAGGCTATAAGAGGAAATCAATTCTATAAAACAGCAGTTAAACATACTAGACTATATTCAGAATTTAATACCAGATACATTTAATAGATATATTTGATATATCCTGAACAGCATCGATACTGAAAATCAGTGTTTGGAAACACCCACTTCTGTAGGTAAGTGTTTTCTAACTGGCTGAATATCTCCACTGTGGGTCTTGAACAAAGCTCTAAGGGGAGATAATTCCAAAGTATGGGAGCCAGCGCTGAGAAGGGATTCCTCTAAGTCCCCTTAAGATGTATCTCTGCTAAAGGTGGCCTTTCAGCAATGGCAGTGAATGGGCTGGTCTGCATGGAGGGTGGTGATTTTGCAGATCGCACATCCCGGAGGTGTTCAGGCCGCATGTATCAAAAATATCAAAAACTTATCCTGGCACAATGACTACTTACCAGACATTCTTGGCTTCTCAGCTCTTCAGCTAACTTCTGATCCACAATAAGCTCTCTCTCTTTTTCCAAAGACTTCAGTTCAGCTTTTTCCTATAGAAGGAAAAAGAATAAGCCATTCCCAGGGGACTATTCATTTCAGTAACGGATCTCCATAGAAAATGATGTTTGATCTGATCATGAAGGAGGAACAACTTGCCAAGCGTCTGTCAGACAGTAACTCAGGCAGCAACTCCATGACTCTTTAATCTCATCACGCCTGCTCAAATGGGTAACTTTGAGGAATGTATGCTAGGGATTTGGAATACCAGTTGCACTTTTGGTGTGGTGCTCATTTGAGGATGGAAGTACAACGTGTATCCGTTTTACAAAGTCCACAGCTATCCTATTGACAAAGGAGCAAGGTAGGGAAGAGCTGTGCCAACAAAATGCTGAAAGGATGCAATCCCATGCAGGTTCAGACAGAAAAAGCCCTAAAACTCCCAGCATTCCCCATTCTTTTTTCCCCTTTGAAGAATGTCACTACATGTAAGAAAGGCTTCAACCAAGAGTTATGAGGATAAAGGGAATTGCTCATTTTCTTACAGTCATAGAGTGTTAGAGTAGGAAGGACACATGGAGATGACTTAGTCCAACCCCCTGCTGAATGCAGACTCCCCCCTGCCCCCCCACCCCAGGAGGCGGCAACAGCGTCCTTGATGGGTGGCCATCCATCTGCTTTAAAACCTCCAGCAAAAGAGAACCCGCCATCTCTTAAGGCAAACTGTTACATGAGCAAGAGTCAGGAACCATCTTCTAATGTTCAGCCTTTCCAGATGTTTAGTCTCCCAGGCTCCCAGTAATAGTTTTATGCTATCCACTAACTCAAGGCTCCCCAAAATCTTGCAGTGCATGGGCATATTTAGAATTGTGCTCTCTTAGAATAGCTGCCTGAGGCTTGGGTGGAGGGATCTCCCCATTCACGAAATGGCTGCTCACCCATTTCCAAGAAGTCCCAACTGCTGAAGCTAAAAGAAAAGTAACCTGCCCCCAAACCTTAGTGGCACAAGGCAGAGGGGAGGGCTGAGCCCCAAAATACAGAATTTCTATTTTGAATCCACTGTTTTCTGCTCCAGAACCTGTTTTGCAGAAGACGAATGCTCAGAGAAACGGATAGACACACCCAGTGAGACAAACCACATAAACATAACAAGGCAAAGATCGACATGAGACCTAGAGGTATAGCTGAAATCAGAGATAATGTTGGAGGCTGATGCTTTGCTTTTCAGCATGCCAACCAGCCACTAAAAAAAAAAAAAAGATATCCTGGCAGATCCCAAAGGAAGTGTTATAGACACCATGTTGGGGAACTTGGTTCAGAGGATTGGCCAGGGCTGAAGAGGCTCAGTTCTCATTCTCACTCAGTTGTGAAGCCTACTGGGTGATCCTTGGCTATTTCCAGCCCAACCTACTGCACTGGGCTGTCGTGAAGATAAAACGTGAGACCACCTTAAGCTTTTTGGAGAGAAGATTGAATATATATTTATATATATGGTACGAGTTGGGTATATTTGGTCTGCAGAACAGGCTGTTCCAAGCTGATTATTATTACACATCATCCTGTTGTCTCTGATTTAAGGCAACTCTATGACTGAAAGCCCTCCAAAATGTCTGGTCCTTGGCAGCCCCGCTCAGTTCTTGCAAACTCAAGGCTGTGGCTTCCTTTATGGAATTGATTCATCTCATATTTGGTCTTCCTCTTCTGCCTTTGGCTTTCCCTAGCAGGATTGTCTTCTCCACAGAGTTGTGCCTTCTTATGATAGCCTCAGTTTTGTCATTTTTGCTCCCAGAGAACATTCTGGCTAGGTTTTCTCTAGGGCCCACTTGTTTATCTTTCTGTCACTCCAGGGTGTTTGCAAAGCTCTGCTCCAGCATCATGTTGCATCATTTTTCTTCCTGGTGGCTTTCTTCACACCCATAGCTAGTGAAATACAGTAGACATCTATATAGAGTGGACCTTCTTGTTTCAGAGGACAGAACTGAAACAGGTTCAGACTGATGGCGTGTGGGGGGTATCCTTCATCTGAGATATTTTTAATAAACAGCTGGAAGGTTACCCATCAGGGAGCCTGTGGCAACCAGTGGGCTGGACTAGATGAGTTTTGCACTCCATTCCAGCTCTAGGAGTCTACGACAGCTCTTTGCATGCCTTCACACAACAGAATTTCTCAAGGGAGTCATCTACAGGCTATCCATCAAAAGGAATGGTTACAATCCCATGTCTAGAAGGAAAACAAAAGCAGTGTGGCATAGTGCTGGGCTGGACTGGGGCTTCCAGTCCGCACTCAGCCATGCAGCTCACTGGGTGACTTCGGTCCTGTCACTGCCACTCACTTCCCAGGGTTATTGTTGTGAGGATCAGATGGAGAGCAAGGGGACCATGTGAACCCCCGGTGGATCGCTTGCAACAGGGAAACTAGTACAGCAAGCAACCCAAACATTACGTCACAGTTTCTCCTCGTGCAGATACTTCCTACCTCGCTCCGTTGGGGCACCTCTTCGATGGGGATCACGCTGTGCTCGCGGTGCTCCTTGGAGCGGTCGCACACCACGCAGATGGCGGCGGCGTCGTCCCTGCAGAAGAGCTTCAGGGGCTCCCGGTGCCGCTCGCACACGCCCAGCGCCCCTTCCCTCCGACTGTCCTCCTCGAGCTTCCGCAGAATCTCGATCATGTTCGCCAGCTGCCAGTTCGACCGGATGCTCCTCTGCTGCGCCGTTTCTCGGCACTGGGGGCAGGAGAAGCCCCGCGCCGTCTCGCCCCAGCAGCGGGCCAGGCAGGCTTGACAGAAGTTGTGCCCGCAGTCCAGCATCACGGGGTCTTTGAAGTACTCCAGGCAGATGGAGCACGTCGCCTCGTCGCAGAGCTCCTTGAGGAGGCGGCGGCTGGCCTCCATGGCGGCCCCGGCGTGCCGGGCGTCCTTTCGCTCCGGAGCGCGAAGGATGACTCGGCGCTCCCCTTCCGGGAATCGCCTCCGGGCGGGCGGGCGGGAGAGCGGCCAGCATCGAGCCCGCGAAGGGGCGTGGCCTGCCGGGGAAGGGGGCGCGGGCGGAGGCTCCGGTGCGCCGCGCGCCAGGCCCGCGGGGGCGGGGTGGGGAGGGGGAGGGAGAGAGGGAGAGCGCGCGGCGCGCAGCGCCGGGGCCAAGCTGGGCGTCCGCGCGCGCCCGGCACGCGCGCCGCCTGCAGGCACGTGCCTGGCGGAGGCCGCGCCCCGGAGCCGCCCTGCTTTTTCAAAACACGCATTTGTATTCATTTGCCATCTAAAATGCAAACGAAGTAGCACCGCATTTAAAAGACGAACATACGCATTTGAGGGACGCTGAAAATAATTATTACGCTACTGTGCTCCCCACCACCAGGATACATGTTACAAATTTTAAAAAACCTTCAAATATTCCAGGATGTTTCCCCCCTTCCAAAACTTTAATGATTCTTTTAACCCTTTCCCTTTCTTTGAAACATAATAAATACACCTCAAATCTCAGTACATTTATTTTAATTTATATGCCATTTTCTCACTTTAATGTCACATGTTAATTTGTCATTTAATAGCTATATTCCATTTAATAGTGGCAAAGCGATATCCACTTAATAGCGATACTCTCTGCACCAATCAAACAATTGGTAATCATATTTTTCCAAATTCTTAGCCATAATTAGTCATGCTGCAATTATTACATTTGTTATTATTTCTTTATTATTCCAGCATAGTTATTTTATCAAATATTGAAAGTTACATGATCTCAGGACATATATCTATATTTAGACTTAATATTTTAGTGCCCTCTATAAAAACCTCTTTCCAAAATTTCATTATATATTCTCATTTGCACCACATATCAAAATAGGTATCCACTTCATGAACACATCTCCAACATAAATTGGAATATTTATTATCTATACAATTCAACTTCACCAGAATTAAGTACAACTTCCTTACAATTTTGTAGAAAATTTCCTTTATTCTTATTGATATATGTTTTAATATCCTTTTTCCAAATATTTTCCCAATCTTCATTACTAATGTTTTTTTTCTCAAATCCATTTCCTATGTTGCTTTAAGTAAACCATATTGATCCTGTTCTTCTAATATCTCATAAATTTTACTTACTATTCCTTTCATCTGAATATTGTTTTTCTTTTTCTATAATCTTATCTTCAAATTTTGCATAATCCCTGTATCTACCTTTTTTCGTTATCCATTCTCTAACCAGCATTCCAATTGAATCACAATATACCAAGTTATTGTCCTCCTTTTTATCTCCCAACTTTTATTCATTGTCTCTAACCAATCTTTTAATCTATTTTTAATCCTTAATATTTTTCTCTAAATTTTCCCAAGTTTAATGGAAATCCTTCTAATTCAGTAATTGAACATAAGGGTGAGATAGATGGCATAAATTTTCCTTTATGCTTATTCCAAATTTGTAATGTATTTTTAAGGAAAGGATTTTCTACCTTTTTAAATTAAATTTTATTTCCATAAGTAAAAACAACATCTATCAAGGATCCTAATTGAGAAGACTCTAATTTTTGCCATATTAACTTATCAGATTGTAATATAATATATGGTATATGCCTCAATTGATTTAGCTATATAACTGTATTTATCCTCACTTTTTATCCCCATTATCAAACTTACTAATCATATCTTGCCAGTCTGTTATTTTTTATCTATTCTCTTATTTGTAACATCATAAATAAGAAATTATTTTTAGGCAGTGTTTTCATCTTACATAATGCTATTCTACCAAAGCAAGATAATCCAATCTTATTTATTTTATCTATTTATTTATTTAGAAAATTTCTATGCTGCCCCATTCACCGAAGCCTCGGGGCGGCTCACAAGTAAATCAATTAAAATACTATAAATTAACAATATAAAAACAAGTTAACAATATAAAATCTTCCACTGATCTTCTGCTTTTAACAGGAACTCCTTTGGCAAAGATGAGGAAAAATGCCAGTCCCTGTTAATGGATGCATTTACTTAATATGCTTAATATGCTGCCTTTTAGGATACGTACGAATCATATTAAGGCAGCTTACACAGCAACAGAAGAGTGGTGCAGAATCAGACCGTGAATCAGCATTCTGGTCACACAGTGGCCTATGAGAAACCCACAAGCAGGACCTGAATGCAACAACAACCTCCACCCATGTTCCCCAGCAACTGCTTCACAGAGGTATACTGCCTCTCATCCTGGATGTAACATACAACAAGGGCCCACTAGTTCATATTTCTGTCAGTTCAGCACATGCACAAAGCTGTCCTCTAGCACGGTGCTTCCAACTCACCAACGGTACTGGAAGCACAACAGTGCCATCGGGACGAGTAGCCATACTCACAATCTAAATCTTATAAGTAACTTAAGTACAATAAAAGCCTAATAACATGGTTTTGGTTAGATAGGAACTAACGCAGCCTTTCCGCAGCCTGGTGCCCTCCAGATGTGTCCAGATGTGCAGGTCTACAACTCCCATGAATGGCCCTGCTGGCTTGGCATCAGAGGAGCTGCCATCTCACACACCTGGAGATAAGCTGCTAGAACAACGTCTACAACCACCGCCTGGGGTCTGAAACGAATGACGGGAAAACGTTACAAGCAACCCCAGCAGTGTGTGAGCATCTTCGCTCTCTGATTGGCCAATGGACCTGGCTGGAGCTTAGTGATTGGCTGTTTCCAAGAAAAGTCTGGGAACCACCTCCCAGGCATGGGGCTGCCAAACAGAGGCAGGGAAGGTTCTTTTGGGTTGGCCCGAGGGATCAGGAGCTTGTCTAGTGTGCCATCCTGCCTTTCCCAATCTTGGTGCCCTCCAGATGTTTTGGACTGCAGCTTCTATCAGCTCCCTCAACCATTGCACTGGAGCGGATGAAAATTGTAGTTCAAAACACTTGGAGGGCACCATGTTGGAGAAGGCGGGACTTGATCATTTCATAGCTTTTAGTCAGGAGGAAATATATTTCATGGTGAGATCCAGCCCCTCCCTTTGCTTCCATTCTCTTTCTAGTATCAGTCAACTGAGCCTCTATAGCAACTTCAGGGCAGGAGCCAGCAAGCTGTAGCTCTCCCAGTCTGGACTACAGTTCCTGCCATACCTTGCTATTGGATAAGCTGGCTGGGGCTGATGGGAATGGAAAGGCAAAACATCTTGGGGCCCACAAGTTGCTGACTCGGATCTAATTTTGTTCTTCCACTGCATACAAGACGCTTTTCCTACAGATTTCATACTAAGTAAAACCCCTGATTACTTTGCAAAGCAAAGGCTATCCGCCAAAATAAAACTTCTCTATGATGAACAGTTAACTACGCATCTCTACTCAGACGGAACGCCTGCTGAATTTAAAGGCACCTAGTCTCAAGTGAGCGATTGCAGCTTATGTTTCCTACTCAGACACTTAAGAGTGCAACTTTGTGCATGTTGAGACAGAAGAAAGCAGTGTTGGGACTCGAGTCAAGTGACTTACTCCCAAGTCCAACTTAAGCTGGACCAACAACTCAGCTTGGACTCAACTCGAGAATTCTGCATTTTTTACAACTATCTTTTTCATTTTTAATTCATTTTTTTATGACCAGGATGTCCTGGCACCAGGCACGAAAGCAGCAGAGATGCTGGTAGGTGGGCAGTGGGGGAAGGATTGGGAGGGGGTTGTGACAGGGAAGGCAAGGCTCAAGGTCTCTTTGGCATGAGGGAGGTGGTGGGAGGAGGGGGCAAGGGGGCAGGGGCTTCCTCTTGTTTTGGTGCACTTTGCTCCCCTTGGCAGGAAGCACAGTAACACTTCTTCCTGCTGCTTCTGCTCTGTTCCCGTGTGTTTCCGGCGGGAGGGGGGTGCCTCCAAAAGTGGAGGTGTACTGCATACCCTGCTAAGTCATTCCAAATGCAGATGGAAACATGTGGGGGGGGGGGGACTCTTCCAGCTCCACACATATAGCTCAGCACCTCTTCTATTTCTGTTAAAGGTGGCTCTTGAGACTTGAACATTTCTTGCAGTGACTTGAGATTCAACTTGGTCATGAAAGAAAAAAAGACTTGAGACTTGCTTAGAGACTTGGAGTAAAAGACTTGAACTCATCACTGGAAGAAAGTCTCAGCTCCCAGCATTCCGCCAGCCAGCCATGCTAGATGGGCATGCTGGGAATTGTGGAGCATTTTTCTCTGTAAGCTTACATAGGATGGCACCTTTAACTGTGAACAGTAGTTGAACATATTCTGTTAAAAAGATCTTGTTTAGGTCGTTTTTACTGCATAAACCTGGTTTTGTTTTCACTGGAAATGCTCAAAGATCTATTCAGTGAAGCAACAATAAAGAAACACCAGTGCTTTCATGCAGTTAGTCTGTGACAATCACTAAAGGCCCTAATTTGCCATTTCTTTCTCTGAGTTACAAGATTTCCCTTGCTTTAAATATCGACTGGATGACTAATACATTCAATATAAAGAACTCATGAAAAATACACAATACAGCACTCATGCAGGAAGACTTTTATCCAACATCTGTCTTCCAGATTTCACCAGCTTAGTATCTTCAACAGAATTAGTATTTATTAGAGATTGTCATTGCTGCTACTACTAAAATTACTATTAGTAGTAATTTTATTATTATTACTTTCATTTCTATACTGCTCAATAGCCAACATTCCCTGGGTGGTTTACAATAGCAGATAAAGTACAATAAAATGTAACATACAGGGGACAATTTAAAATAATAAAAATTCAGTACATTTAAAAACTAGTTTTCAAACCAGATTTGAAAAGCTGCAATAGCTTACACAGTTTTTGCAAGACCTATTATGCAGCTGACATGATGCCCGCATAGAAGAATAAAGTGCTTTCATAGAGGACATGTGCTTTCAGAGGACAGTCTTAACCTGGTGCTAAAGCTGGACCATAAGGAAGGCTGAGCGCAAAAGGATTGAGGCCTTTGAATTGCGG